CTGGCTAGACACCTACTATAGGTGAGTTAGGGTAGACAGTGCACTAGTACCCGCGCAAAGTCTACGATCACTAAAAACTAAATTAGGCGCTGTTTCAGGCTGCAGTGGAGAAAGTAGCTTCCGCCCAAAGCCTGCTCGGTCATCTCGACTTTGGTCTTGTCACCGGTCTAAGCGGTGTTGTTGGCTGCGTAAAGTCCTTCCCTGCTGTGCCGTATCGACTCCCGCCGTCGCCACGAATTTTCACAATTGGGTCAACTAAAGTAAGCAAATCTGCCAACCCCCAAAATAAATGTAAAATTCTACTCCCTTTCCGTGCGTCCAGGCATGGGGAAAAATTTAATGCTTGGCGATATTTTGGATTACCTTCCTAACCCTCCTTCCTGTGAGTCATTTCATATATCCTGATTTTAGTCTCACGCCATGAAACTCTGCGCAATTGTCGACGGGGGATCGGGTGATCTTGGCGTCGAGGAATCCGATGTGAAGGAAAAAGAGGAAATAGACCTAGACGACGACGAGTCCTTATCCGTTTTCTGAATGTTAAACACCGCTTTGCCCCCCTCCCACATAGCGCCCATTTACTTTGTTTTAGCGCGTTTTATACGGCTTCGTTTTTTTCTGATTTTACATTGCTTTTTTTTCAAACAGTTGACTTACTCATTTTTCCTTTTGGTTTGGAGCTCTGATATCTTGATGGAATCTTGTACCGTTTTACCATACTAGGTTTGAGAGAAGATAGATGAGGCGTTTTTTGTCACCATACCTACGTCTTTGCTGTAAAATACAGGACTACTTTTGTTTCTTGTTATTTTTCAGTTTAAGTTGCGTTGGGTCGTTCGCACACTGTCGTTTTTTAGACAAATTAAAGCTTTTCAGTGCGTCTTATAGTCTGAAAAAAGAAACGCGGGGTTCATAGGTGGCTTGCAAAGTTCTTTTGTGTACTTCCCGGCTCAGTCTGATACCAGACTGTAGTGGTTTAACACTGCAACTCAAAGCACAAGAAGCTGAAACTACCATGAACTAGAACATTCTTCCGGGCCTGCGGACTGGTTTCTGTAGGGGAAGGGTGGGGGGGGGAGTTGAAATGATCTCGCGTAGCCTTCTAAGACTATAGTCGGGGCAAGCTGCGGTGCTAATTCTTTTGAGGGGGTGGCGACGAACTACCTACCAGCGAATGCGTAAATTTAGGTAACCGTGCTGTGTGTTGACTGGCTACTTTATGTAGGCCACTTTTTATTATTATATCCTTGTAAACTGATTGATATTATTTTACTTATCGTAATTGAAAATGTTGTTGATTAATATTCTATAGCTTTTCCTACTATGTAAGATCATTTCACTGATGGGGGAAACACCCGAATGTCAATTTTGCATTAAAAGCAACCGAAACACCAATTAGAAAACCTAGTACTCTTAAGATCTTTTCTATGACTAAAACTAAACTACAAACTAAACTGTAAACTACACTAAAAACCTACGCTTTTTTCCGTAAACTAAAACGAAAATGAAACTGTAACTCACGGCTGCTCCATCCCATGTTCTACTTAGTGGCTGATAGCTTTGAATAGAGGCAAAGGTTCGCATTCCAGGTATTCTTAAAGAAGATGAAGGCGTTTCGATCACCGGAATTGTAATTTTATTCTTCTGAGCTTTCGGGCTCTTGCAGGAGTCCATCGTCAAAGATAAAACGTCAACGAAAAGCGAGCAACAGTTGTAGGGGCAGGAACCAATTAACTGTTGTGGGAGAAGGGGGGGCGAATGGGAGGGGCGGTGAGAATACTCACTGAGCAGCAGTATCGGCTGTGCCTGCGAAGGGCGATTTCTGCGGGGCCAG